ACCATATTCATGGCGTATAAGTATTGGCGAAACTCATACGCACTAATGCCCACAAATGTTTTTTTTTTATTTACCCATTTTAATACGTAACCCTAATGTTCTCAGACCAGTAACCTACAAAAAAAATTGAATCCATTTAAGAACAAAGCACACAGAACAAATGACAAAACAAATGTTTGTACTATTTTTAGTTAATACCTACTAAACATAGTTTTACTGACTGACTGACTGACTGAGTGAATAGCTAAGGTTGTTTGGCTGACGACAGACACACAATGTGTTTACCTAAACATGCCTGTATGCATTTACGTATGAGTAAGGGTGTTTTTACACATCATCATCATGTAGCCAACACATCTGTTATTGTTGTTCTTGTTAAGTATTTCTCCCCTTGTAGCCAAAGCCAAACACCTTTCCCAATGGCCTGACATTTTGAAATAGGGCAAAAGTTGATATACTTGTTGCATAATTTTAGGCTTGTATATATGTTGTTGTTTTGTAGTTGGCCCACTAGCCAACTGTGTCACAAGTCTGTATGTGTTTTTTGTTTTTGCTGAGCAGAGCAATTACAAGATTACCATTGTTGTTCCTGTTGTTGCAAGGGTTATTTACTGAATTTTAATGAAGAAAAACCTCTGCGAAATTGTATATGCCTAAAAATAGGCCATGTAATTTATGAAACGACAAAGAAATTGAGATTAACCTCCAGATGAGTACAATGACCTTGTGGGTTTAAAAAAGTGTTAAATTTATGTGGCTAGGTGATTTTGATGATGCTCTTTGTTAGTAATTGTAAAGAGGAGAATTGTTTTTAAGACTTGTTGAAGTTTTGCTAAAATTGCAAGAATAATTGAATTGAAATGAAAAAATTCCATTATCTAGGTATTAAGTAAAAAACGACTTACGTCAATCGTAATGGGTCTACCAACATATGTAAACACAAGGTGATTCAAAGAATATTTTTCTCAATTATTTGACTATGTTTACACAGGACCATTTTGTTGTCATTAGCAAACAGAACTGTGGTCAATTATTGCGAAATAAATTTCGAGCCTTATAGTCACTGGCTATAACAACCTCCGATTTGTGTCCTATAAAAAACTTATAAAATCAAAATGGAATTTCTTCACCGTTTGGAACGATAATGGCAATATTCTGTTAAAATCTTAAAAATAACGAAAGTACAATTTTTAATTGCGAAACTTCAGAAAAAAATCGGTGAATAATGTAGCTAAATCACCAAAATACCGAATATCAGGAGGTACTCTTTTATATAGGGCCCACACGAAGACGTGGACCTGCACAGACAATTTTCTGTTATAGGCTGTAGTATCCATTACGAACTTCAAATACCAAATTTGAAACAATTCCGGTGAATAATGTCATCAAAATACCGAATATCGGGAGGTGTCGTTATATGGGGGCCACACGAAAACATGGACCTATACAGACAATTTTCTGTCTTAAGCTGTAGTATCCATTACGAACTTCAAATACCAAAATTTCCGTTAAATAATGTCGCTTATAACACCAAAATACCGAAAATAGGGAGGGGCTATGGGAATACGTGGACTTACTTGGGCCATTTCAATACCAAATGTCCTACAGAGATATACATTTGAGTAAAATTCTTTTAACCTACTTCATTTTGTTCGCCAGCTAGAGTGATTTCCACAGACAGACAGACGGACGAACCTCGCTAAATCGACATAGAATTTTATGTTGGTCAAGAATATATCTACTGTGTGGAGTCTAAAATGTATATTTCGATGTGTTACAAATGGAGTGACTTTCTTAATTCCACCATGATAAATACAAAGGTCAATTATAACTCAGTTTCAAAGACAGGCAGGTCACAAGAAAGTTTATTTATCTTCACTCTCTGCTAAAAATTATATTTTCGTACATTATATTTTCGACTATGAATCCAGTCGAGTAGTTAACACTACATCTTCCTCAGAACACAACAAATTGATAACAAGCCTAAATGAATAGCCCTTAGTATTAGATGCGTCACTAACAGCAGGCGCGCAACATTTGACACACATCAAAAGTTAAGGATTAACCAGCAAAACTTCAAACATGGTGATTCAGAGCGGTTGGTTTATAGATTGGCGGCAAAACGGGTATCAGCTACGGTTGAATTAGTCTGGGTTCAAAAGAACAAATTTGATCTTTTCCAGAACCTGCAAGAATCTACTAGTTTTGCAATTTGTTTCGATATTAAAAAGAAAAAATGCGTTATCGTAATAAGCATGTTTGCATTATTGCAGTTCTGGAACAAAGCAATAGTAAATTAATGCAGTTAAGTATATTATAGTCTTATGGTACAGACTTGATGTTGGAAGCGGCTAGAAGGGTAGGAATTACTTTTCGCATTTTAATGCTTCCTTCTTCAATGAGATCAAAATAAAAATGAGCAAATTACGCTCAGTAATGATAAAAAAGATATCAAAAGAAAAAGAACTCATCAAGATAGCGGTAATTCACAATGAAGTGATAGCACAAATAATAATCGATATTATCGATAGCTACTGAATTGAAGGTGCTTAGCTACGGTCTGTTCTGGAACAAGAATTGTTCATAGAAGTAATAATTGATGATTTAACAAGAAAATGTTGGACTGAAAGTAATTTCGATTTTTATTTGAAGGAGGACATATTCGCTTGATTAATTTTTCTGACGCATAGTATTATTGTGTAATTCGTAATAATTCCAATACTCATACTTATAATCGCTGTCTTTGCCTTAATAAATATTTTAACAATAGATTGCGTCAAGTGTGCGTCAGCAATTTTTTTTAAATTTAGAATTAATTATATGAAACTGTTCAATTATCCTTGACTTCGATTTGATTTTTTTAAGCATTTAATACAAAAACACACAACTGCCACCCCAAAATAAAACTCCTCGTTTTATGCTGATGAATATTTTTCAATTTTAAGTTTTTAAAACTAAATGTGCATTTTATTTCGAGTTATGTCGAGTGATATGCATTTAACCATAATTTGTATGGACATAAAAATTGTGCTTTTTGTGTCGGATGAGATTTGTGAGTGTGTGTGTGGGCAACAAGAGGAAGATTTAACATGGATATGCAAATGATTACTACATGGATATAATGGAGATATGCTATGACATGAATTCCAGACACAAATAAACTATGTCACAATAGGGTGAGGAGCAAAGAGTGTGATGGGAATTTATTAAGGGAATAAATACAAATTCTTATTTATGGGACCAATGGGTGCAAGTACATAAGATATTTTGTGACATTTCACAAAGGATTACAGAGCCGCACTAAAATCCTGCCGTCGCTTTCCATTATAATATGACACTAATATGCCTAGCCATGACTTCAAGCTTTTTATGTTCGTGAACCTTAAGGGTGGAAATACATAAAGCGCATATTTGGCTGGCTTAAGTAATCGGCTGACTTCTTCGTAGAGGAACAAGGGAGTTTTAGGTTGACTTAGTTCGATTTTGGCCCTAAGCTCCTTTGTTCATTTCCGAAGTAGCCAGCTGATGACTTGAGCCAGCCAAATATACGCTTTATGTATTTCCACCCTAACTTCTAAAATTCGTCAAAAATACCCAGCAAAATTTTGTGGATAGTTCCAAGGTTTGTTGGAGACCCAATTTTTTCCTTTTTATTTTCATGGTAAAATCAAGAAGGTAAAGTCGTTTCAAATAAGCATTTCCATCTCTGCATTTTCTGTAATTAACATTGACAAATTTCACTGCCTAGAAAACTGGATTTCCATCTTTGATTTCTGATGAGATGAGTAAACATATGACCTTCTTAATTCTACCATGTCTATTATCTTAGAGAACTGAAATAATACCCTTTTTTATTGCAGAAAATCCTTTGGCAGAAAAAATGCCCTACCCTATAGCCATTGTTATTGCAGGTTTTGTGGAATGTTAGCAATGTCTTTGTCTGGGGTCTATAGAATTTTCCTGCAATTTTTCACCAGAATTCATATACAGTTACGGATACCTACGCTGAATGCACTGAACTCTAATTAAAAATTCATGTTGCCATGGACATGCCGTGTGTGTGTGTCTGTTCGTGTGTGAATTTTAATTAGAAAATGTTTCAATGATACAAAGTTGGAACATAAAATTCTATAGAAGTTTCAAATGAGGAGAGCAGGGCCTAAGGGGAGATGTTTAGCAGTATGTTTTGAGGGAATACTTCTAGAATACAATACTATGACGCAGAGTAGAGATTTTTCCCACGTCGACCAAATTCTGGTGGGCCGAGAAGATAGTTTTCCCATAGAACAAAAAAAGTTCGGGTTATGACGAAAACAATTTTTTAAGGATGAGATTATTATTTTTTTTTTTTTTAAAAACACCTCAGTACTTAAGAAGAGTTTTTTTTCAATTGAAGGGGATAAAGACTTAAGGACGGATATTTTCACAAAAAAATCCTAGATCCCTGAGGAGATCTCCATTCTTAAAAAAATATATGTAGCGACCTTAAAAGTTATATCTGATTTGAAGAAAGAATCTAAAATTAATTTTTGTTAATTTTATTTTATTGAAAATATGTGAACCATTTTTAAATGCGAATTTCAGTTAAAAGAAGTTCTGGAGGTGGGTTAACAATTTTTCTAATAATTGTAGCAAAACCCAGTATAGAACATATCCTTTACAATATCTTAAAATATGTAGACTTCCTAGTAGGACTTAAATTACACTCTCATATCCTGTTTTTAAAATTCCCTGACAGAATTTAAAGAAATCGCTCTGTAGCCCAGAACTAATTTAAAAAAAAAAATTAAACTTAAAACTTACCAAGCCTGAATAAATTATTGCCCTGGAAAATAAAATTAAAACAATATAACTTCCTTAGATCCGCCATATTATCAATCCTAGAGTAAATAACTTAAATCTCTTTGAAGAGACTCCCTCTAAAATCCAAATTTTCTTATTCTCTTTCTCTTTAAATCTCTCTCTCTCTCTCTTTTCTCTCTGTTTTGAAAAAAACCCAGGCCAAGCGTTCATCACCGCACATGTTTAAGCTGGAAGATCATCAAACCTATTTACAACAACACCAACGCAAAGATTCCGCCAGTTCTGAAGTTGCCGCTCTGCTCTGCATTTCCGGACGTACTAGTCGCATTTCCAGTGTCGGCAGTCAGGGTTCCGCCGTAAGTCGTCTCTCTGCCGTCTCGGGTGTATCACGTTCTCCGTCACCACATCGTATGCTGTTGGAGACTTCGTTTTGTGGTCCAAAACCAGTTGAGACCGTCATTGGTGTCAGCATTGGCTCCGTGGCTGATCATCCGGCCACAGCATTGCTGGAACAGGTGCTATTGGCACGCAATCAAGACACCACCCAGGCTATATTAGCCGAAGGTATTCAACTGGAATCATCACCCAAGCGGCGACCACCTACATCCCTGACCAACGGCGATGCCAAGCTGACGGCCAAAATCAAAGCCCAAAATCAACCGGAGACGCGAGATGTTAACGAAATCTCCGTGATGGGCGCCCAACGTTCATCGACCAAAAGTCCCGGTCAAATGATTGTCGGTAAGACTCCCAGTGGTACCGAGTACATACGCATTAACCTTAAGCCCGATCACATGTACGATGATCAGGGCATTGCGCCCCATGAAAAAATAGTAGATGCCCCCGATTCGCTAGTCCCCCCGTATGCTCGTTCTCAAACAAAACCTGCCTCTCTGTGTCTAACACAAAAATCTAAAGGAGATAATCTTTTAACGCCCACAGTGAGTCCCAAGCCTTCGCGTAAATCCAAGGACCATGGTAGTCGTTCGCCTTCACCTGCTACCGTATCGGTTTCCAGGAAATCCTCGTTCAGTTCGTTATTCCGTTTCGGCGGCGGTGGCGGCAAGGATTCGCCCGACTCGCCACGTGATCGTGCCAGGCCACGCAGCAAGAGTAAAGAACGTGGCCAGACGCCCCAGTCCCAGAACCCCACTCCGAATAAACAAAAATCCGTGCTGGCCATATTTAAGCCCGGCAAGCGTGGTAGCTCAGCCGGAGCCGAGAGCACCAGGGCATCCAAAACCTCCTCGCCCGTGGACTCGCATGAAATGCAACAACTACAGCCCAGAAGTAAATCTCAAACACCTGTTGTATCAGCAGGTGGTTCCCGGCCCAACAGCCGCCTGCGCTACTACGATGACCCCGTGGATGGCTATATACACATACCGCTGCATACGCCACCCGAGGAGAAGGAAGCACGCAAAATTTTCCAGAACATTGAAAGCCTTAACAAACCAGTTCCGGTTCCACCGGAACCGCCAATAAAACCGCCTCCCCAGGCCACGGCCATTACGATGAGCGATCTGCAGGCCGCCGTTAAAAATCTCAAACCAGTAGGGGCCCGAAAAAACTCGATTACGGGGGCACATGTGCCCCCGCCCCCTCCTCCACCGCCACCACCATCCAAGGTCGCGGTAGCCCAACAGCAAAAGCAACAGCCTCAGCAGCAGCGGACACCGGTTCCACTTAAGCACATAGAAAATCTGGATGCCATTCACTCCTTGTCTCAGGATGATGAAAACAAGGAGCGAAACTGGAGCCTGGAGGTCAATCGGCACAGTTCTCAGGACTCCCAGGAGACAGTTGGTTCGGGTGAAAGTTATGCCAGTGCCATAAGGGTCACCACCCAGAAACCCCAACTGGCCGAAGTTAAGGAGCATGTGGTGCAGGAAAACGGTGTAGAAGCCGAAATCCATCGCCTGCCCTCTGTGGAGAGTACAACTAGTGCGGCCGAAGTGAGGGTAGTGGAAACGAAAGCCACCATTAACAATGCCGGCATGCTTGAAGGTGATGCCAACACCAAGGAGAGACGCAAGATTCTCTTCACCACCCGCCTGGGAAGCGGTAGCCAAGATCAGATATTTGCCACCCAGTTCAGCATATCCAAGACGGATAGTGTCTCCAGCCACATGTCCGAGAATACGCAAGACACATTGTCCGCCGAGTCCACCAACGATAATTTGCGACGGCAAAACACGGTCATAAAGAAATCTCCCGAGGAAGTTAGTGATGCTGCTCCAGTCCTGAGCCGAAAGGAGTCTTTTACCATGGAACGCAAAGATTCGATGAAAATGTCTCGCAAAGATTCCTTCAAAATGGAACGTTCTGAGCCACCTCGGGCGATAGAACGCAAAGAATCATTCAAAATGGAACGCAAGGAGTCCTTCAAGAAGTCTCCCCAGGCCATAGCACAAATTGAAGAGCAAAGGGAGATTATCAAGAAATCCGAAACCAGAGACTCGCTCAAGAAGCAAGACTCCCACGAGCGATTTATGGTGACACGCAAGAAATCGGTGTCAACATCGGAAGATGAGGCCAAGAGACGATCAAGTTCCTCCACCACCGGACCACCTGTCGTTCTAAGACGTAAGCCGTCGGCCGGTGAAGAATATGCCAAAACGCATCAGTCACGTTCCACTTCGGAGGATGACAATGAGGTGGCCATGGCCAATCATCGTCACTCGCGATATTTGGAAAGCTTCGATGTGCGCAAGAAGTATCACGAAAATGTACAGGGTCCACCAGTGCCACGCAAACCCCGACGACAAAGCGGCGGCAGTGGTGGTGGTCAGGAAGCCAACCCACCTGAAACTATACAAACCTCCCAGGAGCAAACCAAAGAGCAATATCAACGTAAACCACAACCACAGCTGCCTCAACCTCCACCACCCTCAACAGATCCCACTCCGTTACCCTCACCTTCCCTCAGAGAAATGGAAAACGCAACACCCACACCAACGCCATCGGGGCAAACGAAAAGTGAGCCCCGCTCCCAGTCACAATCTCCGGTAGACAAAGCTCGACAAACACCTCCCAAGCCCCCAAGGACTTCAACACCCACTCGTCGTTCGCAGGCAGCTTCTCCCACAAAAACCTCCTCCTCATCTGTTCCTACTTCATCGGTGGCGGCGGTGGGTTCCGGCACTCCCATTAAAAAGCCATATTCGCACATCGACAGACAATCAGTTCACTCTACCGACGAGCCGGTAGAGTCTTCAGAATCTGAACGTGATTCGGACTTGGCTGCAGCTGAACTAAAGCGACGTCATCTATCGCTGAATGTGGGCTGCATTGAAGATCATGAAAGCACTGGCCTGGTGTCACAGGAATCATTCGACGATGAGCTTCCCTATATTCCCACAAATCTGCCAGAAGAGAAGGCCCAGCCGGTTTCGCTGATACCCATGAAGGATAGAGCCAATATGGAATTGAAGACCTGTCCCGTGGAGCGGCCACGTTCGACCACACCCCTCAATCCTTCGCATCTGGAAGAGTACTGTGGCATAGTCAATACGCCAGATGCAACGCATGATTTTCCCGGCTCTGCTCCGGTTCGTGGGGAGAAGCTGAGAATTAGTCTGCCACGCAAGGATTCCAAGAAGGATATACAAAGTAGCAAATCTCCGCGACGCATATCCAATGCCAGCGGGAAATCATGGTTTGAGTTTGCCGAGGAAGGACTACGTGCCACGACTGCCCACCTGGAGCGTAGAGATTCGAATAAACAGCTTATGCAACAGCAGCAGAAACCTCCGGCTGCAGCGATGACAGTGCGAGAGCCGCCTACGAAACCCAAACAAGAGGTAACAAAACCCAAAACTCCAACCACCAAACCTAGAACTCCGACACAAAGAAAACTTTCCGGTCATTGGATTGACTTTGAAAATATTCCAGAAAAACGAAAACCTCCCAAGAAAATAACCACCTTGCCCCGAGACAGTAGCAGTGTTAAGGCCTCCGCAGCATCCTCCTCCTCGTCCACCCTAACGCAATCCCGATCGACAACGAATGGCAAAAGTTTGGCGGGCAATGATGCAGCATTCAAGACGGCACAGGCCTTCGAAGTACCCAAGTCGCAGACACCAGATGTGGCGGCGTCCACGGCAAGTCGATCCTCCGCCACAACAACCGATGGGGCTGGTACACCGCATTATGATTATGTCAAACCAGAGGACTGTCAGTGTGAATGTCATGAGACGAAGGGTAAGGATGCGGATGGTTTGGCGGACACAACTGGTGGAGGAACGTGTTCAGCTTCTGGCACGGGAACAACAAACACTGCAAACGCAACGGGAAATAAACCACAACAGGGTGTAGATCTATTGCAACAGGGTGACGATATGTTACCGTTATTGAGTCAGGATTCACACGATGGCATTGAACCGAGGTGAGTTGTGAAGCAATCGAAATAAGTTCGATGTAAATATTTGGTGTTTCAAATAGGCAATGCTAGAAAGATAGGTTGTTTATTTTTGATTTAATGAAAATACTAATTTGAAATCAGTTTGCACATTATTTTTATTTTAATACTTAATTTGAGAAGAATAATAGAATATGTAAAGGGCATTTCAAATCAAATGTAAAGAGTAATAGATGGTAGAAGAATATGGGTAGACGCATTGACACACCTGCTGGGACAATGAACTGTCAAACCAATTTTGGAATTGAAAATGTTGAATGAAAAATTATTTAAATTTGTAAAAATTTACGAAAAACGTGAATTATAATAACCTTCGAATGACGTCGTATAAGAAAACGTGTAAAAATCTACTTATATTAAAAAGAACATTTAAAATTTCTTGGCGTTGATGCATCTACCTGTATTCTTCTCCCATGGAAAGATATTTTTATTTAGTTTTTTTTCATGAATTGGAATATAGGATCAGATATTTCAAATAGGAAGCTCTATAGGTTTGATTTGAAATATAGTTTTGAAATTTATATTCACTCTAGAATTTGAAATTATTTTATCTAATAATAAATAATTTTCCTTTCTTAGAATAACGAAAGTTTGTTACAATAATGCCGTCAATATATAAACAAAAAAATATATATAAAAGAACAAACAAAAGCAAATTTCTTTAAATATTGCTTTAGAAGCGAATATTGCAAAAGGTATTTAATAAAACAAAAAAAAAAACAAATATCACTTTTTAAATTTTCTTAAAAAAATATATACACACACGTTTTATTAAAGTAGTCACATGTTGAACACAGTTCAGTTTTTTTGAAATTTATTTTCAATCAACACCTTAGATTTCAAACTCAACACACAATATTTAAATAAATACTATCTTCACCTTTTGCAATCTTTTTCTTAAGTAGTTAATTTTATATAATATTATATATTAAGAAGCTATGCCTTTGAGAATTTGTTATCACGTATATATAACACGGAATAGTGCAAATTTTGATACTTTAAACATTAACCTAACAAAGTTGTCTTTATCATTTTATTATATTTTAATTTCCTTAATGAATAGTTGGAAATACAGTGAGTGTAATAAATATTCGGTATTTGAAAGTTTTAAAGACATTTTTTCAACGTATACCAAAAAATATTTGAGTTTTTTACTCGACAAATTTAGGTGAAAAGAAAGAAGCTATCAACAAACGAGATTTACGAATCACCCTGTGATCCTTAACTTTTGACGTGTGACAATTGTGGTGCTTACATTCTTAGCGAGACGTTAATTGACTAACAGGCATTAGTTATCAGAGGTTTCTTCAATTGTCTTGTGGTTTAGTGTTTATGAGAGAGCGAACTCTCTCTCTTTCTCATACTCATTATCAAGAAATATTTCTGGTCAACGAGAATATTAAGGTGGCATTTAGTCTATTTATTGCCTTGCCATTAATTTATTCAACATTAAATGGAACAAGAAAAAAAGCAGCTTAGTTCGGCCGGGCGGAACTTTTTATACCCTCCACCATTCGGAAGGTTCTTGAAAATTTTCAAAAAAAATGCTATACGAAGACTTGATGCTGGATAAGTAATTTTTTGTCATAGACAGTAGTAACAATTCCGAACTTCAATTACGAAATTTGGAACAATTCCGGTGAATAATGTCGCTAAAATGATCAAAATACAGAGTATGGGGAGTTAACGTTATATGGGGGCTATACGGAGACATGGGCCTGAATAAGAAATTTTTTGTTACAGGCTGTAGTACCTATTAGTAACTCTAAATGCGAAATTTAAAAAAAAATCGGTGAGTAATGTCACTAAAATGATCAAAGTACCGAATATTGGGGGTACCGTTATATGACAATTCTCTTCGAGGGTGTAAAGCACTTAGAAAGAATTTCTTGTGTGGATTTTCAAACAATTCCATTGCAAATTTTGGCTACCATCATCAAAATACCGAATATCGGGGGTACCGTTATATGGAGGCTAAATGATATCGTGGACCGATATAGCCCATCTTCGAACTTTACCTGTCTGCAGACAAGAGGCTGATTTGTGCAAAATATTAGCTTCTTATCTTAATTTGTTTTGATTCTAGCGTGATTACATCTGACGGACGGACAGGGCTAAATCGTCTTAAAATTTTACGCTGATCAAGAATATAGACACTTTCTTAGGTCTAAAATTATTAGTTCGATGAGTTACATATGTAATGACGAACTTAATATACCCTCCATACCATGGTAAAAGAATACAATTAGAAGCATCAACGCTTGTCAAAATTTTTTTGAACGTTTCTTCAAAGCTAAGCAGATTTGTATATGTTTTCCTATATGACGCCAATCGGAGGTTGTTCTGATATGCATTTTTCAAGATTTTTTACAAATTTAAATAATTTTTCATTCAACATTTTCAATTTCAAAATCAGCAGCTGAGTCGATGCGACTACCAGTATTCTTCTACCATGCTCCATATTATGTATGGTGGAAATGAAATACACATTCGTTTTACAATGGTGATATTTAAAGAGATCTTCGAATCACCCTGTGCCACATTCTTTTGGTTAATCCTTAACTTTCGACGTGTGGCAATTATGGTGCTTACATTCCTAGCGACACGTTAAATGACTAATAGACATTAGTTGTCGGTGGTCTCTTCAATAATATTGTAGTTTAGTGTTTGGGAGAGAGCGAACTCTCTCCCTCTCTCTCATACACATTAACTCAATTATTTGTTAAGAAATAAAAACTTGTTAAAAGAGGCTTTGCCCCATTAAAAGAAACAAACAATGTTTTAACACTCACTGTAGGTTGATAGCCCATTTTTTGGCATTCACATTGATGTCCTCTCCCACAATGCATTTGACATATACATTGCCATATATTACTTCAAATATATCGTGAAAGAGCACACATTATCACGATACAAGTCGTTCATGTACGAATTACATTATTCCTTCATAATTTTATGCTTGTTTTTGTTTAGTTTTTCTAAGTAAAATTAAACTAGTTTTCTTTAAATTCTTTTTAGAAATTAAAATTGTTGTCAATTTTTGTTTAAATATATTTTGTTCAAAATTTTCCAGTGACTCATCGCGAGAATTTAGCTGTTATACAGATGATGAAATGGATTTGCCCACACGTAGTTCTAGTCGTTCCAAAAGTAGTTCTTCAAAGGTAAATATCTATATCGAATAAAAAAATTATATATATCTAATCAATCTTTTATCTAATTTCCCCGCAGGTGGATGAATTTCCCCGACGTGATGTCCCAGCTCACAATATTAGACATAAGAAATTTCCCGATAAGTAAAACAAAAATGTAAAACGTTTTAAATATGTCATTGAAGAAGATCGTTACAAAGGAAGTGCTAAGTAAAATAAATAAGAATGTTCCCGTTTCTAGAATAGCAAAAACAAAAACTATTTTTACTACAACTATTACAACAGTCTAACAAACCCTGGGCTGTTATTCAAAGTTCTTTATTTCATTTTCCTCCAATAGAAACTGTTGCATATTTTTAGGAGCATGTTGAAAATTGCCATAGTTTTAATTTGTTAAAATCTCTTTTGTATTAATTTATGTGTTTGGAATCCTTGCCACAAAAAAAAAAAAACAAACATAGACATGGTAACATAACTAGACGAGTTTATATAGAATCAGGGATATTATTTTATTTCCTTTTTTTCGAGTAAATGGACTTTCCAGAACAAAAAAAAAAATTGAATAATTTTTTTTATGCCAACGGTAATAGGAAATAGGAACTGAGTTATTGTTACTCTTTTGTGTCTTCAAAAATAGAAATGAAAGAAACAAAAACAATACTAAACTGCCATCATTATGGTACATTGAACTACAAACATATTGACATACCTACATAGAAAACAAAAACAACTAAGAAAAAAATTGCTAAAAACAAAACAAGAAAGAACAGCATAACATAAAAAATAACAAAAACACAAACATACATACATATATACTTAAACAACTGCATATGCCATATGAAAAAGACATGCCAGAGAAACTATAGCAATACAACTAAACAATATACATACATACATACAAACATGCATATACATATTTACATATATAACAACTATACTATATACAACATACACCTAAACAAACATTTAAACTAAAATATATCAACCAAAAGACAAAAAAAAACAATATTTAATTCTCTTTAAATAGATGTATTTTGATTAAAAAACAATCTTTTGTATGTGTGTCTGACATTTATCATCTCCCCTCCCCATAGCATTCTCTTGTCCCCAAATTTCTTAAAAATGTTTAATTTCTTCAAAAGATTTCATTAATATTAAACAAAAATGAAATGCTCATACCAGGCCTCTTTAGATAGTGAAACAACACCCCAAGTGCAGCAGACATTCAAAGAAAATCACTACAACAACAGCAACCTAACTATATAAATATAGAAAAAAGAATAAACAACAAAAAACGCAAAGTTTATATACAAAAAAAGAAAAGAAACTAGAAAAATCATGTTACATTTTGACTATACTATACACCTACTTAAATACATAACTACATATATACTAGGGCTTAAGCTAGTAAATTAAATTCGTGAAGAAAAAGAAGAAGAAAAACATGTTGTCCATTCTCAGTGGACAATGCCTCCAAGGAAGAAGAGGAAACTCTAGGCAAACAACACAATAAACAAACAAAACACAAAACTTGTATTTAATTAAAATCACAAAATACAAAAATTCTAAATGTTTATGAACTTAGAAATAAAAACGGAAACAAACCAATTGTTAATAACTTTTAGATTAAATGTCATCCCATTTTTTTGTTATTATCACCTCTACATTGGCAAGTTAATTAGTTTATCGAAAAAAAAATTTTTTTTAAAAAAATCCATACAAAATTAGAAAAATATTTGTTGTTTATTTATGATTGTATTTATTAGCTTTTCTAATAATATTTTTAACCAAAGTTGTCAATACAATATTTGGTCGTCAACTTTTTAATCCTGGGATTAGTTTCCGACATGGTGCAGGAATACGACTACCGAATTTAAATTCCATGCGTATAACCTGGCAAGAAAAAATTCTAATGTAAACATACTATAAGATTTTTTGCAGAAGAATACAGGCAGATGCATCAACGCTTAGGATCTTTGATACGTCAAAAATTGAAATGTCTTTTCAAATATAAATAGATTTTTATATTTTTTCTTATACGACGTTAATCGGAGATTATTATAATATGCGTTTGTCAACAGTTTTTCGACAATTGTAAAATTTCTTATTCAAAAATTTCAATTTCAAAATTGGTTTGACAGTTCACTGTTCCAGCAGCTGTGTTGATGCATCTATCTCATGGTAGAAGAATACAGGTAGATGCATCAACGCTTGGGAACATTGATATGTCAAATATTTTAAATGTTTTTTTTTTTTTTTTCAAATATAAGTAGATTTTTATATGTTTTCTTAGTTAAATAATTTTTCATTCAACATTTTCCATTCCAAAATTGGAATGTGTCGATGCGTCAACCTATATATTACTGCCATGATCTATCTGTATTCTTCTACCATATGTCAAACTATAAAGAAATATCAGAGCCGCTCTGTAATTCTGACGCCGTTGACATTTATAATTTGACTTTAAAGAAGCAAGAAATTTGATTCTGTTTCATCCTTAAAGCTGAAAGTACATAAGAAGCTTGAAGTCATGGCTAGGCATATTTTGTGACATTTCACAAAAGGGAGTACAGAGTCGCAATAAAATCCTGCCGTCGTTGTCCATTGCCTAGCCTTGACTTCAAGCTTTTATGTACTTGCACCCTAAGAGCTCTATCACTTCCATGGTCTTCAGGGTTCCTTTTGAAATTAATTTTTTGAAGACACCACAGAATTTACTTCTACCCCAAATAAAGTTCTTCTTATAGTTTCATGGGTCGCTTTTCGAACTTCTATTGGTGGGTAATGTAGAATGGTGGGATAATTAAGTGGTAGGTCACATAGTTTTTTCTGCTCTTATGCATTCCATTTTGAGTTCTTCCTAACGTTTTAATATGAAGGTGGATGCATATACCTCACATCTCGCTTGTTGCAAGTTTTTTCTGCTCTTTTGCATTCCATTCTGAGTTTTTCCATTGAATATATGCTCATGGGATAGATCATTCTAAATATTTCACCTTTCAAATTTCTCTTAACAGTCTGGATGATTTCGCTCTCTGATATTGGCTGTATTTCATAAAAATTATAATACTTTATGGATGATTTTTTATGGAAAATTGTATTTATTATATGTAATTTTGAAATTTATTTTCATATATTTCCACAGAACAAACAAACACCATTTTGGATTAAATTATATTTTTCCGCGAAAAATAGGGCTCGCTGTGACCGAAAAAAATACGTATGTTCTTTACTCATGTATTTCAAAACTTAAATGTTATTCATGTATCACATGGTATGTGCAACTCCTACATATGGAATATTTGACATTACATTTCGTCTCATAGAACCTTAATGCGCTATTCGCTACGTTTTGAGGTTTGCACTCCAAACACGTATTGGCGACTTTGGTAACACTTTAAATTGATATTTTGTTTTAATTCTTCTTCAATAACGCTCCTTTATTAGAAACCAAACCTTGGATGCCTCTTAAAACATTGAACATCTTTCAAAGTAAATAAATTTTTGTAAATTAGGACTATTTTTTTGTAAAATCTTTCTTCACCCAATAAATAATTAAACAAAAGATCACAATAAATATTTATATTGACCCATTTTCAGCTTTAGCTTAATTTAATTTAACAAAAACCAAAACCAACACAATTAATTAATAAGAAATTGTTATTGAATTCCCCATAAATAAAAAAGAAAAAAATAAAAGAAGCCACAAAACAAATTTAAAAAAAAAATCAAATATTATTGATTATAATAATAATGTGTTGTTAAATATTGCATTTAAACAAGAAAATAAAGAAATACAAAACAGCGGAGACGATGAAACAACTTTAAACAACATTTACTTTAAAACCCAAAAAAAAAAAGAATATATTTAAAATACAAAATAAATAAATTGTTATAACATTTTTTTTTGTTTACGAAAATTATCAATGATTATTATGCGTATTGTTTTGGAGACATTTTTCTTTTTCATTATGAGATAAAATTTCAGAAAAACAAAATCACTAAAATCCCCATAAAATGCTAGCCGAAAGAAAATAAAACAAAGAAAATAATTTAATAAAAAAAAATCAATAAAAAAATAAACAAAACTTTGCAAAAGAAATGAAAATTCATGCACACTTTAAGTATTTAATGGAATTTATTATTGTATATTTCGATTTTGAAAATTCCTTCTTCTAACAAACCAACAGACAAAACTATAACGAAAAGAAGAAAACAAAACCCTTTAAAGAATAGAACAACTAAATAATAATAATAATAATAAATGAAAATGTTTCATTAAAAAAATACATGCGATTTTGTTTCATTTTTTGGGCAAGGTGGCAACTACGGTCGATCAGTGTACGGTGATCAGTGTTCATGATACAACAATACAGGTATATGCATCAACGCTTGGGAACATTGATATGTCAAAATGTCAAATTATGGACCGGTTTGTTTACAAAGATGCGTTGGACATCACGTTGTTCCATTTTTTTGAGGAAAATATTCGGCTCATGTGGGAGTTTCAACATGACAAGGATCCCAAACATGCATCAAAACTTGTCAAAAAATTGGTTGCGGGAGTCAAAAATCGATGTTTTGTCATGGCCGGCACAATCACCTAAATCCCATTGGAAACCTTTGGAGTTTGGTAGACAGGAAGATCAAGCGTGATTCGGAAACAAATAAACACAACATTTTTCAAAAAATTCAGGGTGCCTGAGACAAGGATCAAATTGAGCGTGTTATAGATTCAATGCCTTGTAGCTGTACAGCTGCTATCAAAAATAATCGTTATGCTAACGACTACTAGCCAAAATTTAATTAATTACCAAGCAAAAATTAGGCCATTATATTTTTCTATATATTATTTTTAGTTTTTTAAAGTGAATACAGTACAGAAAAATAATTACGATTTGTTTATTTTTGTAAAAGTTACAGGGCATTTATTGTCCTTGCGATTTAAGTTGCTTTAGTTTTGGCCATGGTAGAAGAATATAGGTGGACGCGTCGAATTATAATAGGCTCCGTATGACGTAGTATAAGAAAACATATAAAAATCCACTTATATTTTAAAAAACATTTAAAATTTTTTGACATATCAATGCTCCCAAGCGTTGATGCATCTACCTGTATTCTTTTGCCATGGTTTTGGCCATCCGTGCATGGCTTCTTAAAGCATGTTTACATGTATGAAATCTAATTCATTTCAACTCTGAAATTCGGTAAAATTCATTTCACGTATGTTTATGACTATTTTTTTCAAATCGAGGAAGGAAATTCTGAAATAACATAGAATATATTTTATAAATAAAATGAAAATTTGCCATCTGGCTATTAGCACGATGTGCTACAAATCTATTCCCAAAGAATGCAAATTATTTGGCACTAGTCTACATTTCATAGATAGATCTTTAAACTGTGTGGGAATCAAAACAAATATATTTTCATTGAATTCTAGAAAGGAATCAGATTTTTTCTGTCCCCAATAAAATTTTATTTCAAGATGAATAGTTTTAGATAAATTTAATGGTGATTTTACAAATGAAATATGTCATCATTTAAATTGACACCTTTCCGCTCTTTTCAACATTCAATTTTTTCTTTACATTGTTTCATATTTATAAGAAACATTTGTTACATAACCTAAATAAAATAAAAATATACAATTTGCAATATTTATTATTTGTTTACAAGATTTTAGATGAAAACATTTTGTTTTTGTCAACCAAAACAAATAAACGTCAATCAATTAATTTGCCAAACGAAAATCTAGAGAGGGAAATACAATAGTGGATGTATTCAATCGTCTGCAGAACCATCTAAATGACAACAATAAAATACCACATCACTCCTTGATGCCAGCTATGTAAGTCAGGCGACATTGATGCTGTCAAAGGCGTCATCGAGTGGAAAAGAGGAGGGGGCAACGGAATTCAGTTTTACATTGTTCGGACGAAACAGATCTCAAAAAGCTATAACAATTGGGCTCTATAGGCCAAAACACAATAGGCGCTTAGCTTCATTTTCTAGTACGGCTTATGTCAAATTATAAAGGAATGTCAGAGCCGCCAGGGAATTTTGACGCCGTTTTCCTTTTTAACTTGTCTTCAATGAAGCAAGAAATTTAATTCTATTTCACTCTCAATTTATTTCAAACTGTCAATATGTTTGTTTATGTTTTCAAACGAATTCTTCTAATGTCAATGATGTTAGGTGTTCCATTTATTGCAGCTGATCACAGGACATAGGATTTAAGAATTAATTCGCTCTGTTTATTATTTTTACACTATAATGTCGATGCCGCTGTGAAAAAAAAAAACGCCAACGCAAATAAAGGTAGGAGTACATAAACCGCTTGAAGTCTTCGCATGACATATTTTGTGACATAACATAAAGGGATGTCAGAGCCACACTCAAATTCTGCCGTCGTTTCCCTTTATAATTATGCTTATGTACCCTCACCTTAATTTTGTGTCTTTAACGTTTTTTTCTGTTTTTACGTCAGCAAAGGACAAAGCCACAGGCCGGAAGGTTCACCAACATTTATTTTGTCAAACATTTTGTGTATGCCAAAATCCGCTTTCGCATTTTAGTTACAGACGTCATTAACCTTGATGATGCATCCAACTATTTTTTGATCTGCCGCGTCGCGCTACTGATCCCTTAACAATTCAATTTCATGGTTAACCAAATCCATTATCTGGTAAGACCGACGAAAAAATGTCAAATGTAAACAATAACAAGTTTTATAATTAGCTTAAGGAACGGAAAACAAATGTGTGTGCGTCACACAGATTTTAGGCTGCCAACTAATTGCACGGCGTTACAGTCTATGCCAAAAATTAGTGGGAGTCTAATGGTGCAAGTTCAAAAGAAGCTTGAAGTCGTGGTTATGTATATTTATGTCAAATTATAATGGAAAACGATGATAGGAGTTTAGTGCGACTCTGTAATCCCATTGTGAAATTTCACAAAATATGCCTAGCCATGACTTCCAGCTTCTTATGTACTTAGCCCTTAAATAATATTGAATAGTACAATTAAATAATTCCCAGCTCAACATTTTCTGTAATTTACCTTGTCAAATTTCAATGCATGAAAAACACTTCCCATCTCTGATTTTGTGTGTATACAATGGATTTATGAATATAGATTTTGACAATAAGATGTTGTCAAATGTATAAATTTGAAAAAATGGTGTTCCTTCTTAGTTCTACCATGGTAATATTGTAACAATTAATGTTTTATCATATTTGTCAAATAAAAGTGACAAAGGCCGTGAAAACCGAACATGATTTTGTCATATCTTTACAATATAAAATATAAAAAATAGGACATTGGCTGTTTCAATCCTTTTTTAATAACTTTAGAAGCGGAAAATAGTAAAGATGGCTACTCTAGAATTTGATGTCTTTTTTGTGGTAAATGCTCAATACTTTTTTAAAAATAAATGTTTAAATTAATTAACTCGACAGTCCTGTCAATAATATGCAATAAAACATGCACTAATTTCTACGATGCACAATTAAAAAGAAAAAGCATGCGACGCATTCTAAAAGCCATGTAATTTAGTTAAATAAAACTAATGGTATTAATGGTGAGTTTTATTGAAACATGCTTAAATTAGTTGTTTTACAAAAAATCGTAATTTTTTCAAATGAATTCACAATATAAATAACACATTTTATTTGCATGTTTGGTGTAAATAAGGCCATAACCAATCTTTTAGATGGCACTGTACGCCTGCTATCATTTCACTGTGGATGAGTGTTTATTTTGTCATTCAACTCATATTCTTGTTATTTCTTTATTCCTCACTCATTTCGTAAGAGAAACTACCCTCACATTTCTCATATTCATATTTTGCACTCTCGCTCTCTTTATCTATGGCTCGTTCACTCTCTTCACGAATGAAATTGGAAACGCGAGTCTCTTACCGATGACCGTTATAAAAGTAAATCACACTACTGTGCGAGAATCATTCGTATTTTGAACACTTAACGGTGAACACCAAACAAAACCTTCTACAGGTGGAAGTTGAAGAACAAAACAAAAGAAAAAAAAAGAAACCTAAGCTAAACTAAAACGTTGTTTATAAATAAACCCAAGACTCGTTCGTTTGGAAATAAAAGAAGAAAATAAACAATAGCAAAAAAGTGCAACGACTGAAGAATTCTTTCAAACAAAAGCAAGAACTGAAAAAATAAACAAGAATTGTGCAGCGCTAAGCAAGCCAAGACAAACTGCAGCAATTTGAGAAGAATTTTCTGGAATTCACAAGAGAATACAAATAGTCCGTAACAGTGGTGGTTGAAAAATCCAATCCTATCAAAAAGTGCCTTCAAAGCAAAAAAAAACAAACGAAGTGTATTGATTTTTTGTTCTCATCAAAAGAAGTGACGTAAAAAACCAATTCCGCAACAATGGCTTTTATGATGCCGGTTATGAAAAATAATTATGACATCTACAAGGATAGTCGTTCTCGTAAAACATCCGAATGCTCCAATGGACCCACATCCGGTCCAGCTGGCACTCCCTCCGTGGCATCGGCCATGGGTGTGAGCAGTGCCCAGGCCACACGTAGGCAGCGCATGAAGTCGGAAAGTTTTGCTTCCTCACCCAGCCACACGTATCGCATGCAAATGCAACGGTGCCAAAGTCAGAAAACTTTCCCACGCAATGCTTCCCGGACCTCACAGTGCTCCACCTCAGGGGCCTTGTCGCCAACACGTTCCTTCTATCAACCATCAAACAGTCCGCCAAAGACGAACAATGAAAATTCGGGCTCCCAGCCAGATCTAACCAAATTCCATTTACGTTTAGTGGAGAAATTACGTAAATCCTTTCGCAAGGATTCGGGCAAACGTTCCTGAAAGACTGGTCTCTTGTCAAGAGAACAAGAACAACAAGCAGAAGAATGTAGTAATAATTGTTGTCAACAAAACGAAAATAAAGCAGAAAACCCAGCAGAAAGCATTCGAGGTAACGGCAGTTGTAAGGATCCCATGCCTGAGGCAGGGGATGGAGGCCATACGGAAAGGCCGAATGGCCAGCCAGGGGCGGCTGTCGCTACACCAACAACGGATGACAACATATCTTCAACGAATTCCGGCAAAGAAATGCAAACAGCAGCAACAACAACGGCGGCAGATGCAGGCGTTTTGGACCACACTAGCATTGCAACACCTGGGCGCAAATTCAGAGCTCACTTTGGCCAACGCCTGGCCAAGTGCCACAAAAAATTGGCCAATTTACATTTGCAGCATCATCATCCTCTCCATTACAATCAGCAGCAGAGTGAAAAGGGTAGCATGACCCTACAATTACTGAGTTCCAGCTCAACAGTGGAATTGTACAAACACCAGGAATCGGAGACATCCAGTCTATGCACCTCGGAGCACAAACAATTGCTAAAGCATCAGCAACCTGCTATGGAGTCGAAATCGAAATCTCCCGAAAAATCCTATGGCCAATTGCGAAATGCCAGGAGACGGAAACGTCTGTCTTTTATCAGACGGTGCAGTAAAAGTGCTCCACGCTAACGAAAGCTAATGAAACGTATCAAACTCCATATCAGGACCAAACGAAAAGTGAAAAGTCGCATATCGTTCGTACTAGTCATGGTTATGTGACATGATCATGGCATGATTCTGAGATGGGACCGGACTTTTTGCCGGTGGAAGAGGCGGGGGGTCAAGACAACCATTCGAAAATGATTTGCTGCCTGCCAAAGGAAAATTTTGCTTCAATGCTTTACAAGAGATTTTGGCCCAAGTTCCCGCCATGCATGACGTTCAAATGCTTGGTTGGGTGGATGGATGGTTGGATGGTATGTTGATATTTCGGTTTCTTTACAATTTGGCAGTTTGCCCAAATTTATTTGATTCTTTTTTGGTTGCTGTTGTTGTTATTATTATTCTATAATATGTCGAGGAAACCAAAAAGGCTGAAAACATTTGTTAATCATGCACTAGCAGATGCTACTTTTTGGGGTCGGGAAAGAGGAAGAAAATGCATTGCAGGAATTCAAATTAAAATATTAATGGCAAGAACTACGTCTTCTGCAAGACAAACACAAAAAAATGAAGAAGAATGCAAGGAAAATGGGAAAAATTGAAAGCAATGAAAAATCCAAATATAAATAGAAAATATCGCACACGGATGGTTGGGTGAGATTGAATAAAAAGACTGAAAAACATTTTTATAAAAAAATAATTTTTATAAAAATTCAGTTTTATAAAAAAATAATTTTTATAAAAAAATATTTTTTATAAAAAAATAATTTTTATAAAAAAATAATTTTTATAAAATTAATCATTTTTATAAAAAAATCATTTAACAAAATTGTTTTATAATGTGAATATGAATAAATTCATTAATCAAATTTAAAACAAAAAATTATTTTTATTTTACTTTTTACTTTTTTGATTAAACAAAATCAATCTTATTGGAAAACTTAAAATAAATTTTTAAGACTTATCAGTTTTTAACTTTTATTTTTTTCTTTTAATAAAATGAAAATATTTTATTTTATAATTTTTAAAAAATCAACCGAGTTTCTTCCATATTTTCGGCCAAACAAATATTATTTTTTTTATCTAAAACAGTTCTAAAAAAAATCTCACCCAGCCCTCAAGGAATTTTCATACGATTTTTTGTTTTGAAAAATATATATTTTTCTCTAAGGAAACCTAAGAAAGGTAATGCTATGAAATTTGGTTTTTTTTTAAACGAATTCTGTTAATATTTAAATAAATTTTGTTAAAAGCTCAGGACCAATCAAAATTTTTATTTTTTTTTTTTTTTGTATATAAATACACATAAATTTTTGGTACTTAATAAAAAATATTTTTTATTAAAGAAAAAGGCTTCCTATATATGATTTCAGAATAAAATAACAAAAACTGCCAGGAACAACAACACAAAAAATCCCATATGAAAATAAAAATAATTTTGTTTGAATTCAAAAAGACCAATTTTCTTTTTCAAAAAAATTAAAAAATCTTATATTTTATTCTTAAAAAAATATAAATAAATTAAATACAGAATAATGGAAATTGTAATATTTTATGTATTAAATACATTTTTATGAAATAATAAAAACATGTAAATATTTATGAATAGAATATAAATAAATAGCAAAAAAAAAAAAAAAGAATTGTATTTTTGTACTACTTAAAAAAAAAACAATATGCCTGAATTTGTAATACCCATAAGCTTTGTCTATTTTCTATTAAATAATTATTAAGCGACAGCAATATTGTAATTTAAAATAAAATTCAAAATTTCCTTTTTTGTTTGTGTAGCCCCATAAAAATAATATAATAAATAATATCAAATGTTAATCGCATGTTTTCTGCTTTAAAACACTATAAACCAACAATATATATTCAAATAAAATGTCTACAAATTAATAAATTTATAATTTGTATAATTATTTAAAAATGTATACAATATTTTATGTTTGCAAATAAAAAAAATCAAATAAAAATAAAAAAATCTAATCCAAAAAAAGTTTTTCTTTATTTTATGAAATCTACCCAGGCAGGTGGTATCATCTCTCTCTCTCAAGAAAAGAAATCATAATTTTTTTCATGCCTTCTTTTGTCTGACAAGCAATCCAAGAAAAGTATTCTTCTAGCAATCATTCAATTCAATTCATGCCTATCATTCCCCCACCCTGAAATTTCCTAGTCTTCACCAACCAACCGTTGGTGGAATACAAATAGCATGCATTCTGCCTGCCAAGCATTCACTCCATTCATCATCCATTAATAAAACAACAACAAATCACAGAAACAAATAAAGGAAAAGGCAAGAAAGAAATTTTACTGCGCTTTTGTTTCTCCCTTGTCCCTAGTTTACCTGAATCGTGCCTTCGTTTTCTTGGATTCTACTGCACCTTAACTCAATCACGTTCTTGAGTGCAATCTTTGATTCATTTCCTTTGCTATGAAGAACAACGAGAACAACAAGAACAACAAAAATATATACAACAATACCAGTCTGCGTGTTCGGTAACAATCAACCTACAATACTCATTCATGTACACGTTTCAGAAAAGGGGGGAAAATACAGAAAAAAAGTAAAAAGTGGTTTAAAAAAGTGGTTTGGACGAATTTTTTATACCCTCCAGTATTTGGAAAGATTTTTTTTAAATTCCGCTATAATTATATTTTTTTCCGAATATTAGGTGTTACAGTTATGTGGAGCTATACGAAAACGTGGATCTCAATTACCTAATAGAGAAGATGGTCCCCATAACGAACTCCAAACATTAAGTTTGAGAGAATTTTGATGAAAAAACGTAGCTAAAATCATCAAAATACCGAATATTGTCAGGTAACGTTATATAGGGCTCATACGGAGATGTGAGTTTGTATTTTTGCAATTATTATTGACATTATCGGTCATAGGAGGTAATATCTATTACCAACTCCAAACAGCAAATTTGAAACAATTCTGGTGGAAAATGTAACACAAATCATCAATATACCAAAGGTATAGGAGGTAGAGTAATGTGGGGCTATACCTTTATGGCAAATGTTCAGCCCCTTCTCTGGCAGATTACGCACTACAAGTACCAATTTTGAGATAATTCTATTGAAAAATGTAGATAAACTCCTTAAAATACCGAAAAACTGGAAGTATAGTCATATGGGGTCTATACCAAAAATTTGACCTATATATCCATTTATCTGCCAGAAAACACGGCGTCTATTTCAAAAACCAAGTTTGAAAAAAATTCTGAGGAAAAACGTAGCTAAAATCATCAAAATACTGAATATCGGAATGTACCCTTATATAGGGTTCATACGGAGATCTGAATTGGTATAGGCAATTTTCGGTCATATGAGGTAATATTCATTACCAACTCTAAATGGCAAATTTGAACAAATTCACAATGAAAAGTGTGACCGAATCATCAAAATACCAAATATCTGGAGGTGCAGTAATGTGGGGCTATACGAAAACTTAGATCTATATGGTCAATGTTCTGCCCCTTCTCTGGCAAATTACGCACTCCAAACAAGAAGTTTGAGCTAAGTTTACTGGAAAATGAAAATAAATTCCTTAAAATTTCGAATATCTGGAGGTATAGTTATATGGGGTTATATGAAAACTTGGATCTATCTAGCCAATTATCTGCCAGAGAAGGTGGCATCTATTACTCTCCCCAAATACCAAGTTTAAGATAATTTTGTTGAAAATGGAGCTAAAATCCTTAAAATACCAGAAATCTGGAGGTACAGTCATATGGGGTCTGTAACAAAACTTGGACCTGTAAAGCCAATTATCTGCCAGAGATGTCTATTACGTACTCCAAATACCAAGTTTGAGATAATTTTGTTGAAAAAATGTAGCTAAAATCCTTAAAATACCAAATATTTGGAGGTACAGTCACATGGGGTCTATAGCAAAACTTGGACCTATATTGCCAATTGTCTGCCAGAGAAGGTAACGTCTATTACGCACTCCAAAAACCAAGTTTGAGATAATTTAGCTCTTTAGTAGCTTTTTAATCCTGAAATAGCGTATTTCTCGAGGTACAGTCATATGGGGTCTATACCAAAACTTGGCCTAATATTGTCAATTTTTTACCAGAGAACGTGACGTCTTTTAAGCTCTCAAAATTCCAAGTTGGAGATAATTTTGTTGAAAAATGTCGTTGAACTGCTTAAAATACGGAAAATCTGAAGGTACAGTCATATGGGATCTATAGCAAACTTGGACCTATATGGAAAGTTTTTTGCAAGGATGTTACCTATACGATGGTAACACAAACTGTCAATTTATAGTTAATTCGGTTTAAATTTGTGACTAAAACTACCAAAACACCTTAAAAAGTGGCGGTACAGTCATATGGGGTCTATATCAAAACGTAAACCTACTTGACCCATTTTTAATATCAAAAGTCCTGCAGACATAAAATATATCTGAATACAATTTGATCAACCTACTTCATTTTGTTCAGAAGATAGTGGGACTTCGACAGAAGGACAGACAGGCGGGCGAACAGGAATCTCTAAATCGACCTTGAAGTTTATGCTGCTCAGGAATATATACTTTGTGGGGTCTAACATTTGTATTTCGATGTATTACAAATGGGTTGACATATTTAATATAGCCTCCATACAATGGTGAAGGGTATAACAAAAGCAACAAAAACAACGCTTGCTTGCGTTGTTGTATACAGGAAATTAGCCTTCATTGTTGGTAGTTAAACCAAGGTATGAAAAGATATAAAATTGTTAATGTAGTTAAACCATAAATTTAATAAAAAAATATTTAAAATATATGTTTTTTTTTGTAAACAATTTTCGGATTAATTTTTATTCTCTTTTTTTTTTTAAATAATTTTCTTTTCTGGAAAATATTCCGAAATAATTTTTTTTTGTACATTTTCCAAATTTTATAAAAATCTAACTATGGCACCCGGCCTTCAAGGGTTAAACGAATGGTTGTTTATTATTTTTGTTTTCTATTGAATTTCTTTCTTCAATTCAATTCAGCCATTTCTCCGCCTCAATGGCTTCTGCTTCAAACCGAATGAATTGAAACCAAACCGGAAATGAATGGAAATTAATTGACAGTTATTGTGAAGCATTGCATGTTTTTGTTTTTGCGTTGTCTTTTGTTTGATGGTTTTTTTGCGCATTGCAATTGCCAACCATGGAGGGACACACCCCAAAAGAAGACATCGACTGGCTGGCCGGCTGACTGAACTGACTGCTCAACTGTCAAAATATTGAACTTCTAATCAAATGAATGTTTTCGTGGCACCGCTGAGTGCAGCAACACCCAAATGGTGGGTGCATATTTGCCCACGAAACAACAACAAAAACAACTACAACAACACATTTTTCTTAATAAATAAAATTGAATTTATTGTTGGCCCTGAACTTTCGTGGATGGCGGCGGTGGGGTTCATTGTTCCTTGTGGTGGCAGGCACATGTTTTACTCAGTTTATTGTTCACTTAGTTTATTAGTTTAATTAACAACTGTCAAAATAATAAAAAAACAACAATCACACGTAACAAGAACACACGACTTTTCTCATGTGAGTATGTATGTGTGTGTGTGTGTGTTGGGA